AACTTACGATGCAAATCACACATCAATGTCAGTTTTAAAATAACAATCAATTACAAGGGAAGCAGGACAAGCATATTTACAGCAGCTACTTTGAACTGAAGTGCTGAACTGTCAGTGCAGTGTATTCCTTTGCAATGACTGACCTGCACCAAACTGTTATGAAGGAAGTGCACCTAAAGACTATGGAGTAGAAACTTATGGCAGAATGAATTTCTTCAGTTGTCACTTGAAATACATCTTCTTTTGGTCCTTCCTTATAACAGTATCACTGTTTGCTTCCCTCTTAAGGGCGCACTTAAAGGACTCAACGGTGTTGACAGCTGAGCCACTGATGTTCAGGGTTGTGGGGGTTTGTGTGTCTTTTAAGTCCACAACCATAACTGCAGGCTTCGGAGCAGTCAGCTTCCGGTTATTGTGTCACCACCAGGACACCAGCTGCTCAACATGCTGTCCACAGGCAGATCTGTTGCATATCACACTTTAAAAATAAAGACTACAATTAGAGCACAGCCTCATGCCACTGGAGAAACTTAACAAGTCACACAAATAACTTTTTAGTTCTTTAGAATTACATTATCATTCAAAAGTTTGGGTTTATTTTCAGTGGTGCAATTTCTGGTGGGACAATGAAAATGTTAAAATTCCCCCCTTCAACTTAATGCTTTATTTTTGACTCATTATGAAAGTTTATCATATGCACACTTTTTCTAGGTCTGGCCAGATTAAGCATTTAAACGATTTTAAAACATTAAAGCACAAGGAGACACAAAAGGAAACTCAATTTGTTACTCGTGCTCTGTTTTCTGCACGCACACATCCAAAGTACGTACAGAAAGCCGTGTCTCCGAGAGCGTGCCATTACCGAACTGAGTTCTCTTTTGCGTCTTACCACACTTGAATGAACAAATACACACCAAATTAAGTCAAAATGCTCATTTTGGCTTGTATCCTTGTAAGCATGGATCACGGAAGCGGGAGGGCTGCCCAGGCCTGGGCCTGGGATCAAAATGAGTAAATGACATTTGAAACTAATGTTACGTTTTAAATAAAGCCAGTAGGTGGTGACCAGAGACTGTTATTTGATTTGATTTGATATTTTAATGTATTTTATGAGATTCGTTCAAAAATTCGTTGAGATTCTGATTCTGAAAAACAAGTCTTCATTCATTAATTTCAAAAGATTGTTTTACATAATAAATTCATTTAAAATATATGTTTAATATTGTTTATAAATAGACTCATTTATAACATTGAAGAATAGAACATTTTTTCAGAACCTGAAGTAAATTAGTCTACATATTATTTTGTTTGGTTTTATAATGTTTTGTTTTCAGAATCACGATCTCTTTTATAAAAAGAGATGGATGGATGGAACAATGGATTACATTGTTTCTGAAGGGAATGCGCCCCCGATCTACATAAATGCGTCTATGTTCGTGCGAATCATTCATGATCCAGCCTCATCTACAGAAGAAGTGTATGTCATGAATAGAACGCAGCAACAGTTTTCTGTCTCAAAATGAATTAAGGACTTTGTCGTGTCGTGCTGCTGCGCATCCAGTGTAGACCATAGATATGTATATCTATGGTGTAGACAGCATCACTGATTATAATGAGTTCCATAGTATTTAATCATATCAACTTGTGGAAAATGGGCATCCTATGACCCCTTTAAGGTATTGCACTTTCACCAATAAGCACAAATCATGTGGGCTCATACACATGGTTTATTCTCTAGTAAAACAACAGCAGTTGAGTAAGAGCATTTATTCAGCAATCACAATCGCAAACAATATAGTCAAGATCTCATGACAGAACACAGACAGGCAGAATGACACTTTCATTTAAGCTGAACATCTCACATGAAGATTGCTAAACTCCAGTTTACTGTACTTGTTTGTCTGTGTTTTCAGATCATCGTTGGCGCTTCTGTAATGAAGAGCGAGCGTGTGCGCATTGTTGCCAGATTGCAAAATTTAAGCAAAACACCAGGAAGAAAATGTATCCCTTTTTTAAGGTGGGGTAAGCGATTTTTCAAAAACGCTTTAGAAAACTGATTCGGGCCGACTAGCAAAACAAACTTGTAGCCGTAGGAGAGGCATATACAGCAGTATGCAATAATATGTTGGCTCCTTTTTCGACAATAATGAAAATAAAAAAAATATTTTGTTATAGTTTTTATTTTTTTAAATGCATTTTAGTCTCCTCTTTTATCGTCAACGATATTGCATGTTGGTATACAGTAGTAACAGTTATCGTTTATTGACCTTATTGTCGTCTCGTCATCGTCTCATTTTAGTTGTGAGAAAAAAGCTCATCAACAAACATTTTTCCTCATAGTTTAAATGAATTACTCTGCTCACAACTCCTGTGGTAGTTCTGTGTGGGTGTATTTTCGTTGGACACACACGAGTATTTATCTCTCTCCTCTAGATCTTGTTTCTTTGATAGAGTAATGCATTTCACGTACGAGTGGCCTTTGAAATGAAGACCGTCTCATAGGTGCCATGACAACCGTTTGACTGACAGCCGGAGAGATGAGCTATCCTCAGATGCTGCCGTGACGCTGACAGTAAAGCTTGATGAGCAGACGTGTTGACCCCGCCACTAACAATCCAAGAATGTGGAGCATGGCATCAACAACTGCAGGATGTGACGGTGTTCTGACGATTTGTGCTACCCTGTGTGCTACCTATAAAAGTGCTACCTATCAGATTTTGCTTCCAGCCTGATATTAATAAGGTGTGAGGCTTTATTAACATGTACACCTACCCCAACACTAAACCTACCCTTACAGTAGGATAAATACAGTGTTGGTAGCATAATCTGATAGGTAGCATTATTTGTCAGAACACCGGTTTCATTTAGAGAATCAATGAATGTCATAAAGCACATCATTGCCGTGGGGGCCAACTGATGCAATCGGTCTAAAGACACTGTAGACAGTGATTGATGTAACACTATTCTCAATGCAAGCATGTGTGTGTGTGTTCTAAACTGTACAGACGAGGGTTGCCTGACTTTTGACAGATTATTGCGATAGGAATACATTTACATAATGCATTTTGACCGCTTGTTGTCTATATATATATATATATATA